TTTGAAGTGATATTCCTACAGCACTCAATGAGCCCAGTACACTAATATAAATGCATTTTTTTTCTCTTTCAAGGCCCAAAGCTGATGAAGTACTACTAATTAAAGTGGCCCTAAAGATTTTAGTTACTACTACCAGAAAAGATTTTCTGCTTCTTGTTTGCTGTTTCCTTATCAAGTTATTGATGTTGATCGGCAAGTGAATTATAAGCAGAGGCTGAAGCTGCAGGGCTGGCAAACACACCTCCTACTATTACTTGTGAATTATCAGCTTGACCATCCACATCGCAATTGTCAACAGGAGCCTCATCCAAAGTAGCAGTCTCACGATTCGGAGCTGTATCTTCATCCATAAAACAAGCTCCAAGATTGACTTTTCTGAAGCTTCTGGACCTTCAACAATCAATGACTTCGGTAAAGCCTCCCGTAACTATAGAAGGCATGTCTGACTTGTCAAAGGATCAGCCACTCAAATAAACAGCAGACTGATCTGAAACCAATGTTTCTGTCACAGACAGAACCATTCTGGAATTATAACCAGTATTATCAGTTTTGGGAGCTTCTCTAAAAGCAGGCTCTGTGTTGGTGTTATCACTTTCAGCAGTTTGAGGCAGGTCCATTATATTGAGAGAGTCCAGTTGAACTCTAGAACCTACTTGACCACCACCAGGAGAAGGAGTTTCTTGAGACACATCTTTCTTTTCACTGGCATTTAGGGGGCATGTACTATCAGCCTCCATTTTACTATCTGTAATTGAATTTTCATTTGGAATCTGTCTTGAATTTGCAATGTTGTCTCACCCAGTATGGGTCTTGCATTCTGCTTTTAAAGAATCAGCTCTCTGAACAGGGGCATTAATCACAAGAGATGCAGCGACCTCCAGTTCTTTTGCATCAGCTTCAATCTTAAATTGCCTTTTACTTTTTTTTTTTTTTTTTTTTTTTCTGTTGGAACATCACAAGTTGGAGCTGCTTTTTCATGAGATGGTATGCTCACAGCTGATTTACCACCTAAACTTTGGTTCGGGACTACCTCCTCAAGAAACCTTGCTTGATAACGGAGCAGTAGGAGTATTCCTGCCCTCATTCTCAGCAGGTTAAAAATTTTTATGAAAATTAACATTTTAATTCATAGAAACATTAATCTTTTGATACCTTGAACTTTTTTCTAATATTGATATTCAAATCACTCTAATTTCTTTTCCTTATATCTTCATCATGTCAAATATAAAATTATGATAATTGCCTTTAAATTGTTAGTAAATAATAAAAGAAGAGAAATAATAGAAAAAATTTTTAACTTTGAAGCGTGAATAACATTTTTTTTAAAAGTAATTATATTTTTAGGATATAATAAAGTTTTAAATTCTCCAATCAGAAGTAATGAAATTGATTATACTAAAATATTTATTTATAATGAATAAACAGACATAAATTTCTATTTAGATGGTTATAACTTTCTGTATAATCATGATCTTTATGAATAATAATATATTTATATTTAAATAGTTATAACTTTTTATCATATGATAATTATTTATATTTAAACATAATTATTTAAAATATAAATAAAATTAATACAAAAATTAATTTTACTCATCAATAATTAAATCTTTCTATCTTATGTGGGATGCACAACATTCTAAACTATCAATACCTACTACTACTTGTAAGCAAGCTCTATATGATCAAAAGAGTTCCATAAGCTAGAATTAATCCATTTCCATCCTAATATAAATGCCCTAAACTCCTGTATTCTTCTTTGGTGAATTTTTTAGGCAACCATATTCAATCCTTGCCTTTTAGAACTCAAAGTCATCTTAATTTATAATTAGTCACTTAAAGACTAAATTTTTTATCCTTTTTTATTTTGGGAGAATGGATATTCAAACTCAACTCTTTAAGCAGAAGATACATGGAAATATCGTCAAGTCGAATGTCCAGATGCACTTAAAACCAAACTTTAAAGCTTAAAGCATAGCTGCTGGTCATGCCATCGCTGTATGTTCTCGATCATCCAATTTCTGTCCTAATAATGATCGTCTGCAAATGGTAGAGATATGAATAAGGATGGCAGAGGGGATATATGGGGACCTTTTTCCAGCGAGGGAATTGTCATGTAGCCGAAATGCCACGTGTGAACGGCCCCCCTTTATCAAGCAAAGCCAATCATGCACCATGAATCATACATACGAACTACTCTATACATAATATATTATCATCGACATATATCTAATACTAGCTAGTATTTATCTACTTCCAGACATTCATGCATACACACATATATAAGAGTGATTCACAACTCTCTACGTAGCATGTCTTTCCATCATTAAAAATTTAAATGTGAAGATTAATCAGAGTGATCCTCAAAATCATTCAAATTTTGTCTGCTCGCTCAAAACATCGTTATAAACATGTACATTGAGATGACTTGACGTGAAACCTTTTCCATCGAGTGTTGCTAAGCCTTAAACGACGGTATCTTCAAGTTGAAAGAATGAAATCTTGTCTCTTTTTTCAAATTATTTGGCAAGTTTTGTATGTCAACGTAGGTCTTATCTGGTTTGATGATATCAATGGATGATACCATGAGCATCCATATATGTATGTATGTGTATATATATACATAAATATGGGAAATGGAAGTAACCTAATTTGATTTCATGGATGCATGACACAAAATCGTCATGATTACATGCTCTTTTAATTTAGTCAAAATGCTTGAATTAAAATATCTATTGATATTTTTATATTTATATAATTTATATATATGTTGGTGTGTGTATATATATATATATATGTATATACACTTGTTAATACAAATATTGAAAAATATTATCAACATTTTAAATTAAATATTTTATATTTGATAAAGGGCAGGAAGAAAAGAGGATGAAAAGAAAAAGTTTGAGAAAAACATAATTTCCTTTTCTTGATAAAGAGAGAACAAATTGGATATATAGATCTAGACATTTTTTAAATGAAGCACATGTTCAAGAAAATTTACTAATTAATTTTTATTAGATAATTCTATGCTCAGCCTTTTTTTTGTCTTTGTTTTTCATATCTCTTATACCAAATGTTAAAGATAAATTTTTCTTCCTTTAATTAATTATAGTTAAATCAATAAACTTTTGATCTAAATGTGAAATAGATAAGCCATTAGGCATGTGCATGTGCAAGTGCAAATTTAGCAAGACATTTAATTTTAATGTATATAATATTACATTTTTAATTTTTTTATAAAAATAATATTTCTTAAGTTTAAAAAAAAATAAAAAATTATGAAAAATAATTTTAAAATATAAAAAAAGGGATTTAAGTGTTAAAAAATATAATTTTAAAACATAAAAAAATAGATAGAAAAAGTATATATAGTATTATACATATATAAATATATACACATGGCAATATCAGACAAGAAAGTATAGAAAACATATCACTGGATCTGCAGCCTCATGTAATGATTGCTTTCTCATGTGAACCACCTAGATGGCATGAATATTGAATTGAATACATATAATTAAAACGGTAATTATTACTATATTTATTATACTATTTCCGGATTGCTTTGGAATTTTGGTCTAATGGTACTACCTCTTCCTGTTTTCTTCGCATTTCGCAGACAAAGCAAACTTGTAATAGGTTACTGTTGTTCTGGGGGCACATTTTCTCTGTTCACCCTTGCTATTTGAGCATCAACTGACAGATGAGGAACAGGATTAAAGGGAGAGAAATGATAAGAGTAGTGTGAATATGTTAACTGAGGATGGTAAAAGAAATATGAAAGTAGAAGAAAATGGTTGGATCATTTTGGCAAAAAGGTGTGGGGGACTAAAGGAGGCAACGCCAGCCAGCAGTGTCGCTAGCCTGCACAAGCATTTGATGGCCTTTTGGCAAGACTTTGAGCAGAAGATATGCTCCCATGCCAATCTACAACCCATCACTTCGTCTCCGCAAAATCCTCTACCTCTCATATTACTTCCCAAATCTTCCAAAACTGCCTTTATTTGTTCAAATCATTTACCGTTATATATTGCCTTTGCAGAATTGTATGGGTAAATTTGTAGATGCTGCATTATTCATTCTCCTTAAACCCTACCCCAAAAAACCCCCTAATAAAATGTAAAATGCTTAGCATTCATGATCTGATCATCATCTCTTCTCTGCCAAAATGATATAAGCAAACTTAATACTATAATATATCAATAAAGAAAAAAAATGGTGGTGATCTCTGTTTTTGAAGCTTGACATCTTAAAGATATTGTCATGGTACATACAAATTTGTGAGATATTATTAATTTTGATTTATTGAATCTCACAATTTTATTTTATAAAAAATATTTCACAAATTGAAAATGATATCCCTAATTCGACTCTAGTTATATATAGTCGATATAAAATTCTTGATTCATCTTTAGAATCATGACACATATGCATTTAGCTATGATATTATTATTATTATTATTATTGTTGTTGTTGTTGTTGTTATTTTGTTTTTTTAGATAGAAAGAGAAAGAAAATAAATTTTACCTAGACGTATGTACTTGTAAGGTTGCAGTATATGCAATTAATTTTAAGCATTTTCTTTACTAAAAACAGGGTTTAAATTTATTTTTGCTTGTCTGGGAAACTAACGTTTGCCAATTGCAATCAGATTTATTTTCTGTAAGGCTAAATATTAATTAACTATACAGCTCAGACACTTAAAATATAGAAACTAAAACTTTTCATCACTTGATACCTGATGGGATATATACAGGGAGTACTGCATATATAAGTGTAGAACAGCTTGGAAGACATTAATGAGTTTTTGAGCAATAACATTGAAGACAAATACTTGCATGTGCAAATGCATTTATATAAAAAGCAGCGTCTATCAGTTGATTTTTTTTTATCTCTTTTATTATATATAGTTGTAATATACATAAATATATATATATATATATATATTTTTTTTTTGTTTTCTGAAATGTTTTTGAGGGGCAAAGAGGAGAAAGGGTTCTTGCAGATAGGGTTTTGTTTTGTCATGTATCCCGGGGTTGAGTAGTATCATATATTCCAACCTCCTTTTAACTTTTGTCTTATTGATCTTGTTTTGCTTGGGTGACATGAAGTCACGTGAATGCCTCTCAGGCCTCTTCTTGCCCCCACTCTTGGCCCCTGCTTTAATTTCCGCACTCCTTTATAAGACCCTTTAACACTATTGATTAGGCCCCCTATGCCATTATCCCATTTATAGTTCATGCCTTGGTCTTCTAATCCACTTGTCAACACACCTACAATTCTTTGATCTCTTCTCTTTGCCAATGACACCAGTCTATCTGAACCCACCGGCCCCTTCCTTTCCCCTTGTGGAGGTAAAACAGGAGCAACATCTCCAGCTTTTTCTTTCACCCCAACAACCTGCTGCTTCTTCTCTGTCTGCTGATCATCCTACTACTTTCTTCAACACCATTACTCAAGATCAAAGCGTAGCAGCAGTGACTAAACCTGAAGACTCAAAACCCTATGATCACAAGGCAAGAACTTTTTCACTAAATTCCTTTTTTGTACATATATAAAGTAAATTCATGATGTATCCTGCTGCAGGTTTTACTTTAAAATTAATTTCTTTTACAATTCTTTCTTTTGATCTCATGCAATGATGTTCTTGTTTTTGTGATCCTAGGTAATTAAGAAATCCCCCAAATGTTAGCCAATAATTCTTAATTTTCAAGTGATTAGTCTTTTAATATTAGCTTTATGATCATAAGCTAATATCTAAATATCGATCTTTTGATCTCTCTCTCTTGATCTGCTGGTTTCCATCTGATCTTCCATCAAAAACTACATAAATTTCTAGGTTTTAATATGTCAATATTTTATGTGGACGTGTATATACAGGTTTAATCATCTTATCTTTGATTATAAATAGGTCAATAAGTTCATGACTCGTGAGGGATCAAGTGAACGACAACCAAGCTCATTGATATCTTCACTTGAATATTCTGGGGTGGATATTCATAGCGCAGCCAATGGCCATGATTTATCCTTTAGTAGAAAAGAGGGTGGGGATTATGAAAGTGCAAGTAATAATAATGCATCATCATCGGTAAAATGGATGTCTTCCAAGATGAGGCTAATGAAAAAGATGATGAACTCCAATTGCAGTAATGGATCAGGAGATAATAAACCAGTGAATAAGTTTCAATATCCGATTCATGATAGCGATAATAAATCCAATTCTTTAAGTAAAACCAATAACTCCATTAGAGTCTGCTCCGACTGCAACACAACCACAACACCTCTTTGGAGAAGTGGCCCTCGAGGTCCCAAGGTAATTAAGTTATTTTCCCTAGTTGTCTTTAGCCAGTAATCTGTATAAAATTTTACATGAAGTTTACTGATTCTGAGAGGTGAGAACTTGGGCAGTCTCTCTGCAATGCTTGTGGGATTCGGCAAAGGAAGGCAAGACGAGCCATGGAAGCGGCGGCGGCTGTAAATGGTGCAGCTGTTCCGACAGATGCAACATCTATGAAGATTAAGGTACACATCAACAGGGAAAAGAAATCACGTACGAGCCATGTTAGGCAATACAAGAAACATCAGTTCAAGGATCCTTCGGATTATAATTCAAGCCACAAGAAGCTTTGCTTCAAAGAGTTGGCATTAAGTTTGAGCAAGAATTCAACTTTGCAGCCTGTGTTTCCTCAGGATGTGGAAGATGCTGCAATCCTCCTAATGGAACTATCTTGTGGCCTTCTTCACAGTTGATTTTTTTTTCCCCAAATAAATTTTGTTGCTTTTATGTAGGAATTATTGGTAGTAGTTTGTTTGTGTGTGTGTGTGTGTGTGTGACCAAGGGAGAGAAATTAAGGAGTGACCCTCTATATGTAGCCAAACCAAATAAATAATTCCAGCTCATCTAGAAATAATGAAAACAATAACATTCTAAAATGTTTTCCAGTTTAAATATTTTCTAGCTAGCCAACCATGCCAAGATTAATCACTCAATCCAAGTTTTAAGAATATATATATATATATATATATATATATATATATTAGCTATGATAAAAAATAGTTGAAAGATTGGATTTTATTACCTTTTTTTATCATTATACTATCTTAGTATATAAAATGATTTAATCCTTCAAAATGCGCAAGATTATTTTTAATTTATGAAACTAAACTTATGTACCTATTATACTATTAAAAATTATATCAAAAATTTAATTTATATAAATTTTGAAAAAAGATACTTTAATTTGATCAATAAATAAAATTATATTATTCTAATCTTTGTATATATTAAACACAAGATAAAATAAAATTATTTAACTTAATCTTTTTCATAATATCATTTTATCTTATTTTATTTATAATATTAGCAAACATGTTAGTATTTTTTTAGGGGCTTATGTATAAAATTTTATTCATTTATTGGTTTAATTGGTATGTTTCATTAGAACTTTGAAAACTTTTCATAGATAAATTGTACATATTTATATCTGTCTTAATTAGAAATTGATTTGAAGTTTTTTTTTTTAATTTTTTATTTTGGGCAAAACAATGCAAAAGCAATGAAGAAAACCTGTATTAGCAACTTTACTATAACCCCACAACCATGTGATGGAATACTACTACGGCTAAATTTGGATAGGGAAATTAAATTATGAAATGATAGGTCACGGGTGGCCACAAAAAAAAAAAAAAAAGTTCTTCTCATCATCTCATGGGATTTTTATTAGGTCAATTTTTTCTTCGTGTATGGACCCTGGGCTCTCTCTCGAGTCATAATGCCATCATCATATGCTTTGATGAAACAAACAAAAACTATAGAAATCATGATCATAATCATGTTGTTTAAAAGTTTAATCCAAACAAGGTCAGAAAATAATTTTATTTATAAAGATCACAAAGTATAAGAGTGTGTGAAAAAAATAAAAAGTTGGACAGCTTTTTAAAGTTAGTAAATTGGATTAATTTCAGAGTTTTTTTTTTTTTATCTCTTGTTGTGTGTTAAGATTCCAGGCTCCAACCAGAACTCACTCAACAGGCCTGTAACTCTCAATCAATTTTCATTAACACCTCCTTTTGCCTTTTTTAACATTCATTCTTTTTAAAACTGTGTTAGGTCAACCAAGGAAAGTAACCAAAACTGAAACTGTTTTAAGAATATTTTTTGCCAATTTGACCAGCAAAACCCAACAACCCCAATTCTTTATATATTACCCTAAACTAGAATTATTATAGTAATACAATTAGTGGGCATTCAATTAAAAAAAAAAAAAACCATGATCTCATAAAATATTATATTTAAATAATTAAATCAAATGCGCCAAGCTAACTCCATTATTTTTTAAGAATTATGTAAAAATTAAAGCAATGCAAATAAAAAATTATTATAGTCCTTTTGAAAGTAGATACTCACTCATAAAGTAAAGGAAACCTAAGTACCAAGTCTTTGCCCAATAGGGATAGATTCTTTATTTATTTTATTTTATTGGCTTAACAATTTGTGTAAATTTGGTGTTCCAAAAGTCCCAACTTCCACGAGTGGTAAAAAAGTAACAAAATCCCAACCGTGCAATTTCAATCGTAGGGTCCATATTTCCACCAGCTAAAACCGGAGCTACAGCCAAGAGGTGAGAATAAAATCTGGGACTCCTATCAGTTTAGTTCCAACTTACAACTTCAGCCACAGACAACTTCCAAGGATGATCACATAATTTTTTTTCCCAATTATGTCCTCCACCCAATCTATGGGTCCTATCTAAACCTAGAAAGCAAACCAAAAAATTCCCATTAAAAAATTTAATTAGAAAACAAAATCTGTTAAACTTGGATGTCACGTTCACAGTTTCAGAATTCAGACTACGATGGTTTCTCCAGGAGGGACTTCCCATTACAAGTGGTCCAATCCTACTGTACAAAGGTAACAAAAAAAAAATCTAAGATATTCATTTGCCCACGGTAATCCTCTTTGTATTTGAATTTTAAACATGTGAGCTGGAGGCTGAGGGATAAGCTGGATTGTGAGATTGTGAAAGATATTCTGCCAACACAGAATCTCCATGCTTCATTCAAAAGCAGAGAAAAAAATAAAACAATTAAATTTTTATTCCAGGGTTTTGTTTGAATAAGGAGGATGAAATGAATTGTGATCCATTAAATCTCAATCTGTTAACTTGCAATTACTTCCGTTCATTCTCTTTTGGAAATTTGTGATTTTTTTTTTTTGTTTTGCAGACTCTGATATATTTTATCCTCGAAAAAATCTGTCTTTTTCTCCATAGGTATAGAGTCACCCACCATCACCATACTTTGAAGCCCACAAAAATGCTTTATTTTCCCACAAAAAATGCTTAATTTTTTAGATATTCATTTATTATTTAAGCACAACCATATATATATATATATATATATATATATATTAGACAATTTTTTCTAACAATTCCACCAAACCTCTTCTCCTATCACTAGCTTATGAAACAAACGATAGACATTTAGCATTTTCTCTCAACAACCGAAGTTTCTTTTTTTCTTCTTCCTTGCATTTCCATTACTAGAACCTTAAAAAAAAAAAAAAAACTCTTCCATGGAGCGTGCAAGGAAGGTGGCTAACAGGGCAATCCTGAAACGTTTGGTTAATGAAGCCAAGCAATCACGCAATGGTGAGATGAGCTCTAGATCACCTGTTTCGTACGCACCTTCAAGGTATGTGTCTTCACTGTCACCATTTGGTTCCAAGAGTTACAACAGATCAGATTTGTTAGGGACTAGAAATGTATCGAACGATGTTGGTTTTGGTGTTGGGTCACAAATTCGATCCATTTCTGTCGAGGCCTTGAAACCAAGTGATACTTTTCCCCGCCGTCATAACTCTGCAACCCCTGAAGAGCAGACCAAAATGGCTGAGTCGTGTGGATTTGATAGCCTTGATTCCCTTATTGATGCCACTGTGCCTAAAGCTATACGTATTGATTCCATGAAGTTTTCTAAGTTTGATGGGGGGTTAACTGAGGCCCAAATGATTGAACACATGAAAGATTTGGAATCAAAGAATAAGATTTTTAAGTCTTTCATTGGAATGGGTTATTATAATACTCATGTTCCTCCTGTGATTTTGAGGAATATAATGGAAAATCCAGCTTGGTACACTCAATACACTCCTTATCAGGCTGAGATATCTCAAGGACGTCTTGAGTCTTTGCTTAATTTCCAAACTATGGTTACGGATCTTACTGGATTGCCTATGTCAAATGCTTCATTGCTTGATGAAGGAACTGCTGCTGCTGAGGCTATGGCCATGTGTAACAATATACTGAAAGGAAAGAAGAAGACTTTCATCATTGCTAACAATTGTCATCCACAGACGATTGATATTTGTAAGACCAGAGCTGGTGGTTTTGATCTTAAAGTGGTTACTGCAGATCTTAAGGATATTGATTACTGCTCTGGTGATGTTTGTGGGGTTTTGGTTCAGTATCCTGGTACTGAGGGTGAGATTTTGGACTATGGAGAGTTTATTAAGAACGCTCATGCTCAGGGTGTTAAGGTTGTCATGGCAAGTGATTTGTTGGCATTGACAATGTTGAAGCCCCCAGGTGAACTGGGAGCAGACATTGTTGTTGGCTCAGCACAGAGGTTTGGGGTGCCGATGGGGTATGGTGGTCCTCACGCTGCATTTTTGGCTACTTCCCAAGAGTATAAGAGGTTGATGCCAGGACGAATTATCGGTGTTAGTGTTGATTCTTCAGGGAAGCCTGCTTTGCGTATGGCAATGCAAACCCGGGAGCAACATATTCGCAGGGACAAAGCTACCAGTAACATCTGCACAGCTCAAGTAAGAGCTTCATTGTTGATCTCATTAATTTTGTGTTTTCCTTTAGAAGTACTTCTATAGAGGTTTCGAAACTCTTGAAATGCTAAGCTTTAAAAGTTTTGAAGGCGCAAACTTATTGTCAGGGTAATGTTAGTAACATAATTTCTCTTTTTCTAAACTAATAGAGCAAGTCCTTATTTGAATGAATTTGCTTTGCTTTGTTTGATTTGATATCTTGTTTTATCTAGGCATTACTGGCAAACATGGCTGCTATGTATGCTGTTTATCATGGACCTGAAGGCCTAAAAACCATTGCGCAACGTGTTCATGGTCTTGCTGGGGCATTTGCTTTGGGACTGAAAAAACTTGGCACTGTGGAAGTTCAGGGCCTTCCCTTCTTTGATACTGTGAAGGTTACATGTGCTGATGCCCGTGCAATTGCTGATGCTGCTTACAATAATGAAATTAATTTGCGGGTTCTAGACGCCAAAACTGTGAGTCTGATTGCTTCTGCAATTTTATTTGGTCAAATATTATTATATATTGTGAGATTATCAAGACTTTGGTTCATTTTCAGGTCACTGTTTCTTTTGATGAAACAACTACCTTGGATGATGTGGACAAGCTTTTCAAAGTATTTGCTGGTGGCAAACCAGTGAGTGCTAATAATCTTTTCCATAGTGATAATATTCACACATTTTTTTTCCTTTTGACTTACAATCACCTCTACCTGAACTTTCAGGTCTCATTCACTGCTGCATCTCTTGCACCAGAGGTTGAAAATGCAATTCCTTCTGGACTATTAAGACAGAGTCCTTATCTTACTCACTCAATCTTTAACACGTATGACACTTTCATGAAAAGATGAACTACTTGTAGCTTATAAATCAAATGTGCCACTCTCACTTTTATTTGTTTTCTTTTCAGGTATCACTCAGAACATGAGTTGCTTCGATACATTCACAGGTTACAATCAAAGGATCTCTCATTGTGTCATAGTATGATTCCATTGGGATCTTGTACGATGAAACTGAATGCAACTGCTGAAATGATGCCTGTGACATGGCCTGGTTTCACTGACATCCACCCTTTTGTCCTTCCTGAGCAGGCT